GAACATTGAACACATCGCATATTAAAATACGAATAAAATGCAGCATGGCTAATGTGTGAATGTGCCGATATAAACTTCGAATCTATTCACCTTAACATAAAGCTCTAGAAGTGGTTTCTGACCAGTACCAATCTGATCGCCATTTATTTGCTCCATTTGATAATCATCCGCCATTTCTTCTGCGCTGCACCTTTTTATCTTCAACAGAAAATGACATTAACTGTATAACTGCAAACTTCAAATGCTTGAACGTTTTAAATTTGAAATCTAAACATCAGAAAGCAATGAGTAAAATAGTGATTATCGATGTTATAAAGTAAGACGACGAAAAAAATGAACGATAAATGTACGACAATCACAGCACCAATCTAATTCAACTACATGCGGTTCCCACGAGAATGGAATACAAAACAATTCAACCGAACTCAACGAAAGAGATGAAAAACAATATGCGCATGGCCGTAGCCTGGAATGCAATTTCAAATATCCCACGGTAGTTGACACATAGCAAGGGGTACGAGGAATAAGCGACAAGGCAGCTGATGTGTTTTAGAGAAATGGCAATTAAGGTGTCATATTTATCACACAACAAGTATTCCAAAAATAAGGATTGAATGCTTCCATGACAATAAACAGAGGAAGGCTTCATAATTACTCTTATAGTTTTGATTAATGAAGAGCATTGAAACAGGTGACAATATGGGAAGTAACCTGCTTGAAATTGGATGGTTCTTCAAAAAAAAGATTAAAGAAAAATCAAAAAAGTACATTTATAGAGTGAGAATGAGATTTTTTGGCTCTGTAGTGCGCGAAGCGCTGATAACAAAGATAGTGGCGCAATGCGTATAATATTTATGATTTTACAAATGGTGCATCAAACATTATATGCGCATATAGGAAATAATAATTTTGAATGACATAACATGCCGAAAATATTGCCGGAAAATAATGAGGTCAGAAAAGTGATGTTCATTTTATGAGTGACTCAAAACTTTTAAATTTAAAACAAAGAAGACGTAAAACGTTCCATTTTCAACCATTCTTTCAAACGGATAAAAAGATCGCTCACAAATACATCGCACATTTCCGTCTGAGGAACCGATTGCGACATTGAGAAGGGCTTTTAAACACAACAGAAAACATTTCAATATATAACAAATATATACACATGCAAACATAAAAAGTAAGGCGATTAGGAGGCGATCTCTTTTGAAATGAAAATGTGAATTCTGCTATGGTTTGAAAGGAGAGAGGGAAGCAAGCAATGTGTCATCAGTACGATAGCTATCGACCAATAATATAATAAAATTGACGGAGAACTGAAAAATACAAAAGCTCATTCAAAAAGCACTAATAAATAATGCGTTTAAACAAGTTACAAAATTTTCGAAATCAACGACTTACAATTAAGCCATTTAGATCAGTATGAAAGCTGTAATTTTTTCAGTCATTTCAAAACTAATATGTATTAAAAATGAAGGTATGACTTCTTCAAAGAATAGTTCTAAAACACAAAAAGTTGTAAATTGCTTCCCACAATCATTCTCATTTAAACTGCTGATGAAAATCATTACATAGAAATGACAAAAAAAATTCCACTAATAAATAATTAATAAGTATGGATGTATTGTTAAAGCAAAATGAAAACTAATTAAGTTTAAATTTCACAAGCTGCTTCAGCAGAAAGAAATTTTAAGAGCATTTTCATAATGATAATTTGCAAAAGTTTTGGTACTTAACATGTACTATTGGAAATTAGAAACATGGAATCCTCCAATCAATTATTAGTCATAGATGAAAATAAGAACATGTTTTGATACGTTTTTACTGGGAATGAAAGAATTGCAAAGAGAACTGTAAACAATGAGATCCACGATGATTTCTAAAGTTACATCACAACTGCGTTCAGCATAGATCAGTTGTGCGGAATTTTGCAAGTATGCATCATCAAATAAGCACGTTTCTAAATCTATCTATGGAATTCTATATATTACTGACGTGAGTCTAAGTTATATATATAACATCAATGAGAAAAAGCAATAAAACAAGTAGTTATATAAAATAAGTCCTAAAAAAGGACTTGTTTTGTAGACGATTTTTGAGCTTTTTATAATGTTGTTAAATATTACTAATGCTTAGAAATTCTGGTCCGATTTGAAATATATATAAGGAATTTAGCTTTCTTCCTTTTTCATGCTCATATGCCAAAAAGGAGATACTGAATTATATTACGGCTACATAAAGCGCAAAATATCGCAACCGTAAAGAATATATGGAATAGCAATAATGGACGGTAATCACATAACTCATTTATATACACACTGATCGCAATTAATTTCTTTTCCATCTGTAATCAGTAATCATTTATAGAGTGATAACAAGTCTGACTCATTTATAATCTCAATATAGCTCTGTCATTGAAAATTTTTTTAAACGAAATACATTATCACTAACCAGAATTTTGTTTCAAAATAAAGGAAGTAGTTCGGTTTGAAAAGAAGCCAACTGAGTGTATATTTAATGACGACTGTGTAAATGCAATGATATATTCAAAAAATAAGATCAAAGATGGGTGAGAGGAATCTACCTATAAGATGACAAACGATGAAATCATTTCATTGGAACTGAAGAGTTTTCTTACAGAAGAAGCAAACTGATGTAATAGGAACTTTTTCCGGATAAAAAGCATAAAGTTTAAGCTTTTGAAATATTTTATAACATAAAGATAATACGAGGAGACAAGGAGGAGAGGAACATACCGTATATAAATGCTTACGACGTAATCCATAAATTTGTGAATATAAAGATTGAATTATTTGTAATATTTATGTAAAGAGATACATTAATGTTTGTAGATGATGACTCCTCACTCTGTTTCCTTCTTTTTTTCTTTCGAAACTTTGATACAGTAGTTTGAACGAGAGAGAAAGAGCGAAGATGAAGAAGAGAAAACATCATAGAATAATGCAATCAAAGAATAAAAGAATGAGGTTAAAAGAAACATCGGTTAAAAAAAAAATATTGGAAGTGATGTAATATTTGTTTTGGCAAAATATTCAGGAAAGGATGCAAAATAAGTTTTGGACAAAAATGAAATTGTAAGGGTGAAGACTGATTAGTCTGTACGATGAAAATTCTCAAAAGATCAACACTTCTACACTGAAATTCGAATCTAATCGATCATTTCTGAATATTTAATTTCAAATTTTTCTCAAAGGTTGTAACTGTTCATTGATATATATTAAAAAATGTAAGGAAGAAAGTATAAGGAGGCATTCAGGTCCCAAAAAAGACATAAAAATTATCACAAACTGATAACAAAAAAACTATTAGTGAGAATGTATTCAAACGCTCCGCCCAAACGTATTCATTTCTACTGTTGTCACGATTTCGAACATCAGAAGCAGAAAGGGAAAAAAAATTGGGGAAACCAAAATTTTTTTAAAAATACTAGCGATGAGAAAGGAGAATTTTGGAATAAATTTTACAAATTATTTAAAATAGCTTTAGAAATATTGTCATACGGAATTAATATTTTCCAGTACAAATGAATACAAATAATGTTATGGTAGCGTTGAATCGAAGATGATAGGATTATTTATTGAACAGCGATGATATTTCACGATTTACGAATTTTCTAATGTTATTATATTAAACAAAGTGTTCACTTTGCCCATGTAGACGTGTATTATGTTTATTAATCCTATTTATCATAAAAAATTTCGTGAATCGAATCATTTTTGGAAACAAAAATCAGTGCGGCAGGTGAAGTATTCAATCGGACTTATAAAATAGCAAGATAAAAAAGAACTCCTCTTTGGTTTGCTTTGATTTTCCAGAATTATTTTAATTTTTAATTGTGGTTAATTTCATAAAGATAATGAGATGTCCAAGTATATTATGACTTTGCATACACCGAGGAATATTTCGGAAGAGGAGTCATCCTAGGTGGTTGATAAAGGAAACGGTGAATGTAGTATGCAGAAATATAAAGAAAGATATAGCAGAACAGGTGAGAAATTAGATATTCAATTGACGAGGACTCTTACGGCAACCATTACAGCAAGTCGTCGAAAAGGGGTTTTTTCGGAGTAAACTACTCTTTAACCTTTTACACCGAAGACCGCTTTCCATATGCATATATTGGATGATTGACAACTTTATCATGCCATTACTGATGCGAATAGTCCGAACGCTCAACTGGTACCTTATGGATCCTGATTATGTGACCTTTTCAAAATGAACTCATACATACTATGTTTTTTCCCGTTTTAAAACAATCATTCTATCCTTCCTCTTTATCACCTCATACCCTTACCTGAATTTCAACAAAGCAAAGAGCCGTAGTCTTTCTGGAAATCTTCCAAATCAAAACTATACCTGTCTCCCCACAAAATCTCTCAATTTTTATTGAGAGATTTTGTGAGGAGACAAAAACTGCAGCTTGGCTAATTTTAAGGACTTCTCAGAAGAGCCCTAATCTTTCCTCCTTCCATTTCCCCTACTTATTATTTTCTTCCATACCTTCTACCGTAAAATACAAAAAGCTTCTAACAAAGGTAAGACAAAAAGTGCGAGACAACGATACAGTCAAAGTTGCGCAAATTCCACATCATATTGCAGTGAATGTGAGGTGACACGTTAAGTGACAACGATAGCTGTCAGACCGATTCCATGTAGCTAACTTTCACGTTCACAATTGGTTCCAACAGTAAGTTTTTCAAGGCGAGAGTAGTTGCTAGGAAAAGTTGCTAACAAATTAGTAGATTTTATTTGTCCACTCCTATATCGTGTTATTTGTATGACTCTTGGTTCTTGTGTCAATCTAGCCAAATATTTTTACATTTAGCGTTTGACTAAAATCTCTCTCGACGTCTACTGATTTGTTTTTCATTTCGGGTCATTTAATTTTTGGTAGATTCAGCATTTCTAAAATATGCATTAAATAGTCTTATTAATTAAGGAAGAAAATATGAGAGTATCACGAAATTATACTTCCGATGGGTCCGTTGTGTGTTGGACATGTGAAGAATGCATTTAGTAATGACTGTAATTGCAATATAAGCAATCTTGGCACTTTTAATCGTAGAAACATGTTTTCAAATATCAATTTTATTAACGAATGATAAACATATAGCAGAGAGAACCAAAATATCAGTTATGCCGTAATATTTTGTGGACAATAGATTGATTTTTTTCCTTTATTTCAGAAGTTTCCACAAGTCTGTAGTCGGTAGGATATTTTATTAAATTTCCTTCCGGAAAACTGATGTTAGGAGAGCAGATTCGTCAAGGATTCAGTCCTCTATTAGCTGTTTTCACATCAGATGCTGTGGAACGTATTGCTGCTAAGAATAATCTTAGCTTCACAGATTTACTTTTGCCATTTGCTACTGTCAATTGCACATTAAAGGTTTGCTTAATTATGTTTCCATAAATTAGATATGCTACAATAAAGCTTAGAATAATTCCTGGATTACAAAAACTCTCTGAGACAAATGTTGAAGATGGATTGAAATTAGGAACAACTGAACTAAAGGATTGCTAATAATTTGAGCAGCTTTCAGCACACTATAACTGTAAATTATCGTCTTCCAATTAAATCTTAGTCTCATCTTTCAGTTTGTCTCACATGTGAGAGGACATGAATCGTAGATAATATGAAATTATCAATAACTTGGCGAAGGCATAAAAAAATGTGTAGTAGATATCAGCGAAATATTCCCATTAGAGATCTTTTTGTTTGGAAAACAGTGATTCTCGATATTGCATTAAAGTTGCACTGCTTTTTGACTATAAAACAATTCAGCATCTTTAAATTGTTTTATAGTCGGAAAACAATGATTATTTTATCTATGAAAAATTTTTTGGATTCTTCGACTAAAAATTATATCTTTAAATGAAAAATTTTTCTTTTTTCAAATTTTACACCTTAATTTCCAGTTTTAAAATTTCAGGATCCATCGGGTTCATCGGTAACATCACGCATATTCTTTGACTTTCGAGATCTTCGACGAGACGGGTTTCTTCTAAGTTTAACTGTTTTACCTTCTGTCTTACATGAAGCTACATCGTCGGTTGCATCCACATCGGATTCCGATCCCGAACTTGCTTCCCTTGCTTTCAGGTTTGTTCTATTGCATGGTTTTATTATTTCGCTTTAAATACATTAAATTCTTTAAAAAATTTCTTTATAAAGTCTGTTGGATTTCCATCATTTTTATTTTATTCCATAGATTTGTACTTGTCAGACAGTATTTTTGCAATAAATTAATAAATTCAGTTTGAATAATGTTGTAGTGAAACTTTACTGAAATGGTCCGAGCCGGCAGAACATGAATTCCTTCGAACTTATCTTGGTTGCTTATTCGTCGTATCTACCGAGGACGAGGATCCTGTGGAAGAATTATCGAGATTGATTAATATTCAGCATCAGCAGCAGGTGGGACATTGTTATTTTGATATTTATTGGAAGATTGAAGGGAAAACAAATGAGCGGAATAACACATTGTTTCGCATTATTGGAAGCTTAATGTGTGTCAAACACGATTTTTGGATTATCACTGCTCTTCCTAGATGTTTGCATGAATTTCTAAACTAGACATTATAATCCACTTGTTATTAAGAAAAAGTTGCATGTTTGATTTCTTGTCGTATTTGTGGTTTATGTGCAGTCTGGATTTTTGAGCTCTTGTTTCAAAAAATTTTGTATTGACAATATTGACCGCTTGTTTTGAAGTCATGGGTAAAAGCTGTTTTTTATTTCATTAGGCCCATTTTTATGTACAAATCACAAACACGGATGAAATTGCGGCTTTGGTAATGTTCGTGTGTTATAAACAGTAGATATTAAGAGAAAGTTGCACTTCAATTTTTTGTTTCTTCATAACATTTGATGATACTGTTCAGGTTTAGTAAGTCATTTAATCATGTTAGAATTGCGTTTTAGAAGCTATATTTTGGTTATTAATGAGCCTTAAACGTTTAAGAGATCTGTTTTTTTCTCCATTTTTACAGATATTTTCTTCATCGCTTCATTTTATTCGATAATAGTCTTCCCTAATAGATGCGAATTGGATTTTTATGTTTTTATAGTATATTTTTATGGAAATATTTAACTAACACATCAAACTAATGACAATTCATACGATTTGATGCATCATGAACCCATATCCATACAGGTAGATCCTTTTGATGCTCTGTATTGAATGAATGTAAATGAAATAAAATGATTTTGTCTTGAAGGAAGTAAATATTTTTTAGGAAATAAATATTAGTTAACAAATGATGAATGTGCTGCAAGTTACAGAGTTCTTCGTAACTTTTTAAAATTAACAGGGCCATCCTATCAAAAAACTTTTAGCAATTCGAAAAATTTATGAATAATTGTGTCAGATTATAGCAATTTATCATTAATTAATTCCTAAATATTCATTTTTTCTAAAACCAGAATATTTCATCTCATTCTTTTGGTATTTTAGCAGTTATTGAGTTTCTCGACAGTTTGAATTTTTTGCAGCAGAGTGTTTATATTTGTCGCTTTGTAGGTACCTGTGTGTTTTTTCCACGAAGTTTGTGTGTGCATATGTAGTTCACTGCTTTTGAGATATGATATGAAGCTCTTTATTTTTCTAATAGTATCACACTGCATTCAAAAATGAAGAAAGTTTTGAAGTTTAATTTTATAAACTTTCATCAAAAATTTTACTACACAATCTAGTTTATTTAGAAGAGATATTCCAATGTGTCATATAAGTGGTTTGTAGGTAGATCCTTTTGATGCTCTGTATTGAATAAAACATGCAGATTGGAGTGTTTGACCCGAATGAAATTCGCAAAGCAAGATTAAAATTAGGTAAAACATTGGCTACATTAATATTACTGAATAACTATAATACCGTAAACACTTTAGTGAAGGAGAAGCCAGAACTTAGGTGGATAAAAAAAGGCATTCATCGCATTAACTGTCAAATTCTATTTAAAGTTTAGGATTTCAGCAATTAAACACTGAAGCTCTGTTCATAATATTAGGCTCTTGTCCATATTGGCGTGTGCTGCACAACAGTACATCTTTTGCTGTTTTTTTGAATTTTTGATCATTTTTGATTCTCGTACTTTCTCTCTTTTTATCTGTTATAAAACCCCATTCAAGGTCTTTATTAAGAAAGCAGTGGTGTTTCAGTATATTGGCCCTAAATCTAGAATGAGCTATACAAACGTTACATTCTCATAATAAGCGGATCTTATTCTTTGGACTTCGAGATTCCATGGATTAAGAATTTTTTTAACTGTATTTTTAACGTAATTTGTGTTGCAGTGTGGGCGGAATGCCTTTGCTATAGGGCCAGCATACTGTGTAATACCCAGATGGATGCTTCCAAATATTTTCAAATATTTCTTAATTGTAGACGACGAATCATCAAGAAACGGATCGTCGAGGTAATTGGTTATTTTTTTGTTTCTGGAGTTTGTTTTCTCTAGGAATTACTCTAGTAGTAGTTTGGTCCGATTTGAGAATGCATGCATAGACAAGTTTATATCACAAATCAATATCGGTCATTAGTGCATTTGTTGTTTTGGTTCCTCATGAAACAATTGATGTTAAAAGCATAAATTCTAATAAAAAGATGTATCTTTATATTTTTAGGGCGTCTTCCGTGTTTTCAGCAATCACGACACAGTTTGGTGCTCAGAATTGTTATTTGCTCAAATTAAATTCAAAATATGATGATGAATTAACGGATCCATGGGGTGCACATTTGGAATCAAAATACCGTGGATTGAAAAAAGGATTACAACTTGCTAAGCATAAAGTTCTCTCAAAAACGATGGGGTTAACTGATAACTTGGTACGTTCTCGTTTTTTCTTTCTGAGTAAATTAATATATATTTTATATCAAGCGGATAATTTCTCATTTTCAGTAGTAAGAAACTTTATCTGCTTACTACTTTAACATTAATTTTGAAATTGATTATCCTTATTGGCAAGCATTGCCAGATTGGTAAACAACCACTGGAAATGAACAATATCTATTTAATATGAAACAAACAGATGAATGTTTGAGTAGCTGAGTCACTTATATGAGGTTTCATATTTGTAAAAATGCATAAGTTTCATTCATACTTATAATATCACTGGTTGAAGAAATTCTCTACCCTTTATAGCTTTGCATTATACTCCAAAAAAAGTTTTTTCAGACTTCATCAACTACTGAATCATCTCTAACAGGACAGAATGTCATTGCCAGCTTTGGCTATATCTCTGCTGTACTTCATGGGCAGTATCTTAGCTACGATGATCGTGAAAATGTTACAAAAATGGTGGAGTGTATGGTTCATAATGCTTTATTACCTTGGGTAGAACGGCAAATGCGCAGTCTCAATGAACAAGTCATCGCGCGTCGTGGAATAAGCAAATCGCTGACTGCCGGAGTACGGAAATGGTTTGGAGCAGCAGCTGCTCAACAGACTACATCAATAACGTATGAAAATCTTTTGTCATATAATTATAGTTTTTCATTTCGCAATTGCGGTTTTAATTTCCCTAATCTGAAAGTGTTTTCTTTTTAAACTCGTTCCACTGCTAGTTTTTGTTTATTCAATGTCAAAGTTTGTAAATCTCTCTCTTGCTTAGTTTAATTTTTCCCATGTAAAATTAAATTCTTAAATTCTTTTTATTCAGATAAAGAATATGCAAAAGTTTCATTTTAAATAGAGAATACAGATTTTAACATTAGTTTTAGTTATGCACAGGATAGTGGCGAAATGCAAATTAGACTACTAGCCGATCTCTGTTTCATTTTTGGACTTTATTCATATGCATATCAACTTTATCAAATCGTTCGAAAAGAATTTGCTGTGGATCAGGCTTGGTTATACAATGCTGGAACACTTGTGAGTAGCAGTTGTTTTGTAAGAAAATCTCAAATTAAATTAGAAATTGGTTTAAAATGTTTCGGCAATAAACAATTAAAAATGTCCACAGAAAAGAGTCAAATAACTGTTTTTCTTTCAGGAAATGGCAGCATTAAGCTTATTTTTAAGTACATCTCAGATTACTGCAAAGCAGTATCCACAACATTACATGGATGACGCGATCAACTTTTACAAAACAGTCAGCCTGTAATTATTAAAAATCTCAGACATTGAGTATTTAGCAAAACTTAGTTATTAAGATTTAGAACCTCTCCTTACTTTGAAAGACATTTGCGGGAAAGAGAATGAAGGAGTGGAAGAAGGAAGAAAATAGATGGAGGAGAGAAGGAGAGAAGGAATCGAAGATGAGAATGTGGTGGCTTAACAAAATTTTCAAGGACTATCATTGAACACTTTTAAATTGGACTTTATTAGTAGCTTTTTCCAGAAAACCAATTTTGACAATGCGAGCTGCTATTTTAAGTGCACTGATACTCTCCACATTGGAATTATATGTTGAAGCATGTACGCAACTTCTGAAACTAACGAATTCTGTTAGTTTGACTTTTACTCTTCTGCTAAAGTTAAGATTTTAATGAGAGCAGAAGCGGAGTTGAATTTTCTTTAGGTATGCAACATTGCTTTGGAATGAATGAAAGTGATTAATCACAAAAAATGATTGTTTGTTTGATAGGATGATGACTTGTTCAGTGGTGTTTTGTTAGAAAGGGCAAGTGTTTATTTTGGAAATGCCAAGATGCGTCGAAAAATGGCATTCCATTACGTGTTAGCAGGACATCGGATGTCGAAGGCTGGTCAGAAACAATTATCCATGGAATGCTACAAGCGCGCTCTTCCTGAATATCTTTCCAAACGTTGGATTTTTGCAGAAGTAAATCATTTACCTCAGCTGTAATTCGAAGAACGCGGATTATCTTATGAAATCCATATCAAACTGTAGAGCATGCTAGATGATAGCAGTAACTAATAATATGGGGCATAATATTTTTCATTGTGATACTGTTTAATAATTCAAATCTTTGTCAGCCTTTCATGAAGATTGATTAGTAAAAATTTCAGCTTGCTAAAAAACGAAGAATTACTCAAATTTGTAAAAAAAAGTTATATCCTTGCTATTACTTCTATGGAAGTCTGCACATTTATTTTACGAAAGGCACGTGTGTATCGATTGCCGCAAACACAGAGTACGATAATATAAGATGGAAAGGCTGATAGACATGAAAAACATTATATATATATTCTAGAGTGGAATGCCAAAGTCATTATTGTAAATTATAACTATAAAAACATGGCAAATGTTCAAACATTTAAATAATATTATATAATAAAAATTAATTTGATCGACTAAGATGTTATTTTTAGGATCATATCCTTTATACACTGGCTAATGAAAGTGAACAAAAAGAAGAAGCCCTATCGTGGTGCTTACCTTTAGTAAGGTCACAGTCGATGCAAGACGCCGATCAGCAGCAACTTTTTCTCAAGCATTACCTGCAACTTTTGAACCACTGTAATAGTACTCGAACTCATGCATTCCTGGTGATACCGCTAGTAGATATTCAAAATATTGTTGTCATTTATGGAGAACGTCCAGTCGAGTTAACACCTGAATTAGTCATAGATATGGGAACTTCGGTTCGTTCATTCATTTTTTTATCATGAAATTAATTATGCTTATTACAACTCTCTGAGTTGCGGCCAATAAGCATGATAAACTTTTTCAGGATGGATGGATTAATTTGGCAAAAGCTGCATATTGTACAATAACAGGTTCTTTTGCCGGTTTTCGGGAAACAGGGACTGTTCGTACAGTTTTTACAGATAATTCGAAGGTTAAAATTTTTTGGTTTAATATAATGTTGGCAGTAAAATTCGTTTTCTCTTTTCGAATCATTACATTACAGTAGTTGTTTATGAGTATTTTTGTTGGCTTTGTTCGGAATTTTGCTATAAATTATAGTTGGGTTTCTAATTTAGATGCCTTTTGCTCCACCGTTGGAAAGAATGCGAATAATATTGTCATTAAAAAATTCTATGGATATTCCCTTGATTTTGGAAAATGTTCATTTGGAAGTATCAGCTGATCCTACAATGTATTTGCAAACCTTTATCGACAAAGTTAGTTTCAATTCATCTTCTCACTCTTCGCCTCATTTCTTCTCTTTTTGACTTGAATTTCATAAGCATAAAGCTAATATCCGCAGAATGGTTCGAAAATATTTTATCGTTAAATTAGTACTTTTCTGGCCATTCGAAAGTTCAAGGAAGCCATCCCTCATTTTCATCCAAATGGTTAACTCTTTTTTAGATCTCTTTGAAACCGAAATGTGATTGGATTCCTTTTGAGCTGTCTGTTATTCCAAAAGAAGCTATTGATAAAGTGCAAGTGCACAGTTTGTCATTTAATCTTGTAGTTGACGAAATCAGTGTTACATACTCAATTCCACTTAACATTCGTGGACCGCGATTGAATAACACCAAGAAGGAGGTTAAATTTTTAAAATAACTTGAAAAGATCTAGTTTGGATTCCTGGAAGATTTGCAGTGATTTATCTGATTTTGAGGCAGTGATTAGGAAATTACTTGTTAACCAATAATAAAATTTCAGAAAAAAATCAAAGTTTTAGTAACTTATGATTATTTTTTAAAAATAAGTGATAATACTGTAAAAAATAATTGTAAGGTAATTTGTTTTTCAGAAAACATCAATTTTATATGGAGAGGATTACCGCTTAACTGCAAAAGTTACGAAAGAGCAGTGGCCACTGGTTGAAATTGATTTGCCACCAAAACGACGATTACTGGCATTCTGTGGCCAAATTTGTCGATTTAATTGTGACGTGAGCAATATAGGTGTAGTACCTCTGGAAGCTTTTTGCATAGTCACTGATCATCCGGAACTGATTTCAGTTTATGAGGAAGAATGTCCAGGAAGTACTGCTTTTCGGTTTGTGAAATGTACTTCAACAGCTATAGATGCTGCAATTGGTGTTTTCAACTTGGAACATGGTGTTATTGGTGTAGGTCAAAAGAAAAGGTTAGAATTCTTTGCTCGCGTTTTTTTAATTGTTTTTTTTTTTACAGACATTGTCTTACAAGACGAATACATGCAATTTTTGATTATGCCTTTCTGGGGACTTTGAAAATGTGTGGTCTCTTTTTGTTTTATTGCATGGTTTAAATAATGTATTAAAACTGAATACTTACTCTGTGAACCGTAAATTATGCAAAATAAGCTATTTATCTTTCTATTTTTGTTCACTTCAGGTTACAGTTAGCAGTTCGAGCTCCTACCACTGAATCTCTTGGACATAGCATAATGCTAATTTGCTACTATCGTGGTAATAATTATATGGTAAGAGAGGAGAGGCATGTAATCGTGATTGACACTCGTGTAATTTTAGAAACTTCATTAAGGTAATTTTTTTAATGTCTGTACTATTTTTCTGATAAATAAAATTTGTATATGTCGCTATTTTCAGGCTTGTGGATTATACTAGTGGCGCGTGCTTGTTAAAGCTCCGTAATCTTATACCAAATCGTAGTTCTTTACTCGCCAAAATTGAACTAATAAAGATACGGCCGCTGATTGCTCATGCCAGGGTAAATTTCACATCGAAAATATGGCAAGATTCTTTGCCACAGATTTTTCTACATCCTCTACAAAAACGTCGAGGTGAGTTATTTTAATGAAGGGGAATGCAATATAGATAGGAATCATGGAAAAAATTAGATAGATGAAGAAATGAGACAAATGAAGAAAGAGTGATTAAGTCCAGATTCGCAGATATTTTATTTATTTACTTAAACTTAGAATATCTCGGAATATGATTTTGACTCTACATTTAGTGGAGCTGGAAAGTGAACAAACAGATAGCATACCATTTTTGATTAATGGACGTGCGGGAGCAGTATCTTTATGGTTTTGCGATGAAATCAGTGATATTCCGGAGTGGTCTAGCCCTCCTGACCTTTCAGCTGAAGTATCCAATATTGTACCTTCCACAAAACAAAATACAGAAGACGAGAATACAGCAGTTCC